GAGCGCCAAAGAATTGAGGCCTTTGAACTATGATGCTGGAGAAGACTCCTGCGAGTCCCTTGGACTGCAAGGCGATCCAACCGGTCGGTCCTAGAGGAGATCAACCCTGACTGCTCTTTAGAAGGCCAGATTCTGAAGAGGAAACTCAAATACTTTGGCCACCTAATGAGAAGGAAGGACTCACTGGAGAAGAGCCTAATGCTGGGAAAGATTGAGGGCAAAAGAAGAAGGGGACGGCAGAGAATGAGATGGCTGGATGGAGTCACCGAAGCAGTCGGCGTGAGATTAAATGGACTCCAGAGGATGGTAGAGGACAGGAAGGCCTGGAGGAACGTTGTCCATGGGGTCACAATGGGTCACACACGACTTCGCAACTAACAACAATGCCTGAAAAACCTGGGTATATTTATCTCTAAATGTACTGTATGTTTACATACACTTTGCCACCTTTGCAGAATTGGGTGCCCTGAGATCTAGCCATGGGGGAAAAAAACAAGTTTTCAAATGACCTTGAATAGCAAAGGGGGAATAGCAGTACGACAGGTGAAAATTGGCCATCTAGGACTTCAATTCCAAGACAGGGGGGGAAAAAAATTACAGCCGGTTGGAGCAACATCATGGATCAAGCATCACGCCCATCCATGGCTTTCATGATCTTGTGTCTGAGTAAGGAGCAACAAGGCCGCCATTTTGTGGAAGCCCTCCTCTTTTTAAATGAATGCTAGCAGTATGAAACTGGTGCTGCTCACCCAAAATGTTTGAGGGACTTCATTCTGAGCCAAGCCACTTGGGGAAACATTAGGCCTTCTAAGACAGTAATGGCAAACCTTTTTGGCACTGAGTGCCCAAACCGGAATGTGCATGCATTGGAGAAATACCATCCAGGTAAGAAGGAGCTCTTATCAGAATATGACCCTAGCATCATAGTTACAACCTGCAACATTTTCTGCACTGTCAAGATACACGGGCAGGAGGCATCTAATCTTCTCTCTGTAGTAATCAATGTTTTTACAAAGTCGGAGTCACTATGCAAACCACTATCACGTTCGTTATAAAGTACCAATTTCTTTTTCTTTTCTTTTTTTAAATTGTGAATAAAAAAAAACAATAAAAAGAAAGGCGATTTCAATACCTCCCATAAATTCCTGTGGGGAAAAGGTTCCCTTTAGAAGCTTTCTGAGGCATAAATGATAGTGCACAGTTTTACGTTTTCGCCGCATTGATCTTGAAAGACGGGTCAGAAACATTAGACTGGAATTCGAAGCTTAAATGCAGGGCAGGTGACTTTAAAGGTAACATTCAAAGAGCCATTCCTTCCCTGAACCCTGTTAGCTTTTCAGTTTTGGCCAGCTCATCGTCTCGTTTTCTAGGACAGCTTCCAAAATCTGCTTAGGCCACCATCTGCCCTCTCCTGACATCCTTGTTTACTATAGTGACCTGAAATGAATTGTTCTCATATACCCTTCCCCTTCCTTCCCCATGGATGTTGCTACTTTTGTTAATGTTCATTGCTAGTTCTTCCTTCTCAAGCTGTTGAGATGTTCATCAACGTTCTAAGACAGCAGCATCGGATGGAACATGATGTAATAGTTCTACAGAGGAATTATTGAGTCTGTCATCTGCATCTCTATAACTGTCTGGTTTGGCTCTGCAACCCAACAAGACAGACACAGACTTCAGAGGATAATAAGAACTGCAGAAAAAACAATTGCTCTCAACCTGCCTTCTATTGAGGACCTGTATACTGCATAAGGCAAAAAAAGGGCTGTAAAAATATTTACAGACCCCTCGCATCCTGGACATAAATTGTTTCAACTCCTACCCTCAAAACGACTCTATAGAGCACTGCACACCAGAACAACTAGACACAAGGACAGGTTTTTTCCCGAACGCCATCACTCTGCTAAACAAATAATTCCCTCAACACTGTCAAACTATTCACTAAATCTATCTGTTTACTATTAATCTTCTCATCGTTTCTATCACCCATCTCCTTCCACTTATGACTGCATGACTGTAACTTTGTTACTTGCATCCTTACGATTTATATTGATTGTTTCCTAGTATGATTTGATTGCTTATTTGTGCCCTATGACTATAAGTGTTGTACCTTATGATTCTTGACGAATGCATCTTGTCTTTTTATGTACACTGAGAGCATATGCACCAAAGACAGATTCCTTGTGTGTCCAATCACACTTGGCCAATGAAGAATTCTAATCTAATCTAATAACTCACCAACCGGACCACGTGGTGTTTTTTTTTTTTTTGGACTAAGCAGGTTCTACCATACCATGCTCAGCATTTGCAAAATGAAGGCAACCTACCTTGTTCGGGCACCTGAGACCCCATGGAGGTGACACTGGTATTCAAAACATCATTAACAGCTGTGTCACAGTAGAGGCCCCGCTGAGCATCATGTTCACTGTCCGTCTGGTCACTCTCTTCGTGCCCGCTGTCCTTCAAGCTGTTCCCCTCCAAATCTTTGAACGTCGAGCTGCTGGGTGGAAGAAACGGGAGTTATCTTTTTTTTTTTTGCTCTGCAGAGCCAAATCGGAGAAACTGCAATCACACCGTTCCTCCCCAATTTCTACCCGGAGGGGATCCAAAGCCTGGGGCAGGTTTTGCAACACTTCGAGCTTCCCCCTGGGAGAAACAGGCTGTTGCAAGAGACCATTTCCAGAACAGCTACACTCTGCTCACTGATCTTCTCCTGTAGTGTACAGTGTAGCAGCTGGAACTGGAGACAGACCCAGAAGATTTTTAAGAAAAAAAAAAAAGATTAACCTGAAAGTATACCTGCTTATGGAACAGAGTGAGGACAAGAAGAGTGTTTAGACTGAGAAGAACCAAAGAAACATTGCAGATATATTGGAGGGAGAGTGCAAAAGCACCAGGAGACCTTTCCCAGAAAGTGGGAAGCAATTAGAAGAGATCGAGCACAATAACAAGCCATCCTATTGACATTGTCCATGCTACAAGTTGAACAATTAGCCTTGTGATGCAACCAGAACAATCTTGAACTAAATACACTCAAAACCATAGAAATGGTGGTGGATTTTAGAAGAAACCCTCCCATACTACCACCTCTTACAATACTAGACAACACAGTATCAGCAATAGAGTCCTTCAAGTTTCTAGGTTCTATCATATCTTAAGACTTAAAATGGACACCTAACATCAAAAACATCATCAAAAAAAGCTCAACAAAGAATGTTCTTTCTGCGCCAACTCAGGAAGCTCAAACTGCCCAAAGAGCTGCTGATTCAGTTCTACAGAGGAATTATCGAGTCTGTCATCTGCACCTCCATAACTGTCTGGTTTGGCTCTGCAACCAAACAAGACAAACACAGACTTCAAGGGATGATTAAAATGCAGAAAAAACAATGGCTACCAACCTGCCTTCTATTGAGGACCTCTATACTGCACGAGTCAAAAAGAGAGCTGTGAAAATATCTACAGACCCCTCGCATCCTGGACATAAATTGTTTCAACTTCTACCCTCAAAATGACACTATAGGGCACTCCACACCAAAACAACTAGACACAAGGACAGTTTTTTCCCCAATGCCATCACTCTGTTTAACAACTAATTCCCACAACACTGTCAAATAATTTACTAAGACTGTATTACTATTATTCTTCTCTTCCTTACTAGCATCTGTCTCTTTCCACTTATTACTATAACCATGTTGCTTGTATCTTTCAATTATATTGTTTTTATTTGTATCTTAGTACGATTTGATACCTTATTAGTAACCTTGACTATCACTAAGTATTGTATTTTTTTATTCTTAATGAATGTATTTTATTCTCCTTATGTACACTGAGAGCATATACACCAAAGACAAATTCCTTGTGTGTCCAATCATTGGCCAATAAAGAATTCTATTCTGTTCTGTTTTACACAAAGAGAAGCCTATGTTCATTCAATTCACCGAAACAGAAGGCCCCTATGAGTATCACTGATGTAGAATAAATACAATAAATGAGGTTTAGTTATGTATAGAATTCTGAGATTAGGTCTCAGGCACAAATAACCAGAATCACTCATGAATAATATCAAGCAGAAGCTTTATTGTTAGTCATCTAAATTACAAGAATGTCGCCACATTGACTGCATTCCCTTGGAAATGGTTAGATAAAATTTCAAGGATCCTAGTGGATGACCTGCCTGTACCGCTTTCTGCAATGCAAAGACTCTAAGCTTTAGCCTCTCTTAACACCTCCCTCCAGTCTAGCTGGAGATTCCACTACATCAGGAGATAGCAAATACCTAAGAAGACAAAGCAGCTGAGTGGAAGGCCCACCAAACGAATGCAATTATTAAGAATACACAGATTTTCCAAGATGCCAGTGACAAGAAAGACATCATTTTCCAAGCTAGCCATAGTTTTCAAACTACTATAGAGGCCTGAGAATTTACTCATTGACACATTTGGTTTAAATTCAGCTCAAATTCAGCTGGTTCAAATTTTTGCTCAGATTATATCATTCATTCATTCATTCATTCATTCTTTAATATATTTATAGGAATACCCACCTACCAAAGTACTATGAGCTGCAAACAAATAATAAAGTAACAAGAATAATTTCTAGGTTCCTAACTGGAATCTGAATTCAAAAACATTATTCTTTTTGCTTGTTCTTTGTATGATGTTATTCCTTAATTTTTTAAAAAATTGATAATCATCTGATAATAGCAACAACAATAATTTCAGCGCTTAAGAGGACTTCTGTGCTAAACATTATGTCCAGGCCAATTAGGGAGTTGCTCAGCCCTAAGCAGTTTAGTATTAGTGCAAATGCTTGATCCTGGAAAAAGGTGTAGCTACTTTAAAGAGTTTGAGGCAGCTCTATAAAACCCTGAGCTTGTCGATCAAAAGGTCGACAGTTCAGCGGTTCAAATCCCTAGTGCTGCGTAACAGGGTGAGCTCCTGTTATTTGTCCCAGCTTCTGCCCACCTAGCAGTTCGAAAGCATGTAAAAAATGCAAGTAGAAAAATAGGGACCACCTTTGGTGGGAAGGTAACAGTGTTCCGTGAGCCTTTGTCGTTGAGTCATGCCGGCCACATGATCACGGACACATCTTCTGACAGCGCTGGCTCTTTGGCTTTGAAATGGAGATGAGCATAGCCCCCTAGAGTCGAGAACAACTAGCACATATGTGCAAGGGAAACCTTTACCTTTACCTTCACCCCTTAAGTACCTTTTTATGAAATTTAAAAAAACTCATCCCATAAGAAAACCATAGCAAACTATTTCTATTGTTAACCAGGAAAACCACATGGGGGTCTCCGTGAAGTCATCAAGCCTGGAGTTCAACTCAAAACAGGACTTCCCCTTTTGTCTTGTGTGAACCCAGCCATCAGCACAACTGCACCTCATCAGACAGCAAAAAAAAAAAAAAAGAAGAAGAAGAAGAAGTGCTTATCTAAGATGCTTATCACAGTTCTCCAAGTTAGATCAAAGTCAAATCTCTTACGGGTCATGTGACTGAGAGGAAATGGCTTGCTAACCTTACAGTTCCAATTAGCTGCCATCAGGGTTGCTAATTAGAGAACTCTTCTTCCAATAAGGCGGCAGCTAATCAGCCAGAAATTATGTGCTTGCAATGCACCTGGGGAAGAGTCTGATTGGCCATGGTGGCAGCTGAACCTTGGAAAGGAGTCAGACTTTAAAGGCAAGATTTCAGATAGACAACCTACTGCAAAACCCAAGTCAAAATCTCCATCTCATCAGGATAGGCTGTCTTGCTGGAGCCGAAACTGAGAGAAGGGAAGGGAAGGGAAGGGGAGGGGAGGGGAGGGGAGGGGAGGGGAAAGGAAAGATAGAAGGAAGGGAAGGGGAGGGGAGGGGAGGGGAGGGGAGGGGAGGAAAGGAAAGGAAAGGAAAGGAAAGGAAAGGAAAGGAAAGGAAAGGAAAGGAAAGGGTAGAGAGAAGAGGAGGGGAGGGGAGGAGAGGGAAGAGAGGGGAGGGGAGAGAGAAGAGGAGAGAAGAGAAGAGCGAAGGGAAGGGAAGGGAAGAGAGAGGAGAGGAGAGGAGAGGAGAGGAGAGGAGAGGAGAGGAGAGGAGGAGAAGAGAAGAGAAGAGAAGAGAAGAGAAGAGAAGAGAAGAGAAGAAGCTTCTGCAGATCCAGACACACCACATACGCCAAGCCTGGAACATCTTCAAACGTGACCTTTTAAAGTAAAGACATCTTTGCCAAATCCCTTTAAGTCTAAGATTTATCCAGCATGCCTACGCTACAGAAAGCTGGTAAGAAATCAATTCAGAAAAGACTAAACAGATTAAGGAGTAAAAAAGTTTTAAGATTCCATACCGCAACGTTAAGGCAGCAATCACTCCTCTCCAGAAAGAGTGGGGCATGTGTGTGAGGTTTTTTTTTTTTTTTTTTTTTTGCTGGATTAAAAACACACCCGAGGATTAATAGCTGACATTTCAGACTACATCATTTTTGTGACACTCATTAGAATAATACCTCAGCAATCCCCCTTTGCTGACATCCTTACCCTTTCGCTTTCTCTTGGTTTTATCCCTTAATATCTAAGGAAAAGGTACTTAAGAGACTGAACGGAGACTTGTCATTCCACAGGCCCACTGATCCATCCTGCACGCAGTGGTGGGATTCAGCCAGTTCGCACCACTTCGGGAGAACCGGTTAACTTTCTGAGCCGTTTGGTGAACTGGTTGTTGGAAGGAATCATTAGGGCAGAGAACTGGTTGTTAAATTACTTGAATCCCACCACTGCCTGTACGGCATAGGTATCGGTTCTCCAGAGCATCACGTGAGGTCCACTCTGGTTCTGTTCCCTGGCAGGTCAAAGACTAGAAATCCTAGACCCTAAAACTTATGAAAGAACCTAGAACAGGAGGTGTCAAACTCAAGACCCGTGGGGGGAGGATTTGGCCCACAGAGTACTTAGATCTGGCTCGTGGGGCCACCCTGGAAACAGCAAAGGACCGGCCTGCAGTGCCAGCAAAAGCGGAGCTCGGGAGGGTCACGTGCTCCGTTTGCGCTGGCAGAGGGTTGCAGGAGGCTGCGCTAGCTGAAAACTGAGCTTGGCAGCCTGTTTTCACTGGTAGAGCACTCGGGCCACCACAGGCGCCCCCGACACGAGTGATGTCAAGTTGGCCATGCCTGCCTCGGCCCCCCGAGGTCAAGCACAACCCTGATGCGTCCCTCAATGAAATCGAATTTGACATTCCTGACCTAAAAGAATCTATCTCATTTTGTTAATCAACTCCTTCAAGGCCTTTAATTCAATGCTCTCTCCAAACTTTTATCAACTAACATCCTTTAGCAGCATGCCAAGGATAAACCACACCCTCTTTTGATGTTGCTCTTGCATGAAAAAAATAAACCCTAAATTCCGTTTAATTATTCCACGGAAGAGATCTAGAAGCTCTTATATCTGCCCCCTATATCAACCTAAACAGGCGTGGCAGGAGAAGGATCCTGCAAAATCTCCATTCCCACCCCACTCCAGGGGAAGGATCC